AAGTGCCCTACCCACTGTACTATTGCTCCAGTCCCTGAACTTTTTTTTTTTTTGCTGCTGGGGGAAGAGTGCTGTGCCATACCTGGCGGTGCTCAAGGTTATTCCTGCTCTGCGTGAGGGATCACTCCCAGAAGTACTCTAGGACCCTGTCTGGTGCCAGGGATTGAATCAAGGTTGGCTGCATGCAAGGAAAGCACCTTAACTTCTGTGCTATCTCTCTAGACCCAGGAACATGAACTTTAAAGCAGGAATTTTCTTAAGTAGCTTTGAAAACATGTATTATTTAAATCACAACAAATTTAAAGAAAATTTACCGCTTTTAATGTAAGAGAAGCACTGTGTTATTAAACTCGTAGTACGGAGGGTGGAAGACTTGTCTTGCACACAGCCAACCCAGGTTCAATCCCCAGTACCCCATATGGTCCCCCAAGTGATTCCTGAGTGCAAAACCAGGGGTAAATTCTGAGCACAACCAGGTCTGCCCCCCAAAAAACTTAAATAAAATCACCATTAGTTTAAAATAAAAGTATGAATAAAAACACAAAGCACTTAAGGAAAATAACCTTTATTTTGTTCTATCACTGTAAGAAAACCCAAGCAAAGCTCAAAGACCCTAAAAGGTCATCATTGGTTAATTCAAGTATCTTTAAGCTACTAAAAGTCTATTTTATGATTTATTACAAATAAGTTCTCCTTACAACTTACGACCAAAGAGCCGGGGAGAAGCTCAAAGAATCAGAACATATTCTCTGCATAAGAAAATCCTGGGTTTGATTCCTGGCATCACATGATCCCCCAAGAAGGTCAAGTATGGCCACCAAACAAACAAACAAAAGAGGGGCTGAAGCGATAACACAGCGGGTAAGGCGTTTGCCTTGCACGCAGCCAACATGGCCAACACAGGTTCGATTCCCAGCATCCCATATGGTCCCCCGAGCACCGCCAGGAGCAATTCCTGAGTGCTTGAGCCAGGAGTAACCCCTGAGCATCGCCGGGTGTGCCACAAAAAAAAAAAAAAAAGAAACTTGTTGGGCCAAAGGATAGTACAGGTAGGGCGTCTGACTTGCACACAGCTGTCTATGCTCCCCTCCCCATCCTGAACGCTCCACTGAGTACCACCAGGAGTGATTCCTGAATACAGAGCCAGGAGTAAACCCTGATCACTGCAGGGTGTGACCCCAAAACAAAACAAACAAATCATACACGGTCAGAGGGTTATAAGGCACTTGCCTTGCATAAGGCTGCAGTGGTTGCAACACTGGTTTCAAATGCCTGCACCAGATTTGGTCACTCCCAAGCACAGTCAGGAAAAGCCCCTGAGGACCTCTGGATGTGGCCCAAACACTCTCCCAAAATAAATACATTTTTTATTAATTTTTTAAAAATTTTTGGTTCACAAAAAAATTGGGGGATTTAAAAAAATGTCCAGCCCTTTCTTATTATTAAAAAAAAAATACTGATCGGGGCTGGAGAGTTAGTATAACAGATAGAGCACTTGCCTTGCACACAACTAACCAGGGTTCAATCCCCAGCACCCCATATGATCCCTCAAGCACCACCAGAAATGATCCCTGAGCACCAAGCCAGGAGTAAGACCCAACCATCACTGGTCATATGCCAAAGACCAAAATAATAAGAAATAAAAAAGACTTTCAGAATCAGGGAGATCATTCAAAGTACCAAGTACACATGGTTGCATGCTGGAGGCCTGGTCTCATCCCTGGCACCCCACAGGGTCTCCAGAGCAGCCCCCAAGCATCAGTTCAGGTAGCAGCCCCACAGCAGGGTATGTGTGGGCCAAACAAACCAAATAAAAAGGCTTTTGCATTTACAGATAAACACACCAAAGAGGGACTATATTACTGACACAAAACCATCTTGGTTTTTAATGTCCTTCATATTTGGCCCCAAGGAGAGTTATTTATCTTGCCTAAAATAAAAAGACTAAAAAAAAAAAAAATAGGTTTGGAGCTGGAGCAATAGCACAGCGGGTAGGGCTTTTGCCTTGCACGTGGTCAACCCAGATTCAATTCCCAGCATCCCATATGGTCCCCTGAGCACTGCCAGGGGTAATTCCTGAGTGCAGAGCCAGGAGTAACCCCTGTGCATCGCCAGGTGTGACCCAAAAAAAAAAAAAAAGAGGTTTGATTGGGGCCACACCTCAAAACGGAGAACTGCCAATTCTATCTTAAGAAACACTTTTTTCCAAGAGTAATTACAAGAATAATTTCATCACAACTTCTTTTTCCTTTTTTTTTTTAAAAAAAGTCCGTGTGTGTGTGTGTGTGTGTGCATGCATGTGTGTGTGTTACTGCAATGCAGGACGACTGAACACATTTGGCTGTAATACAAAGGAGATCCACACACTTGGCTGGGGACCCAGGGATCCCTATCAGCAGAGCCACTGGGCTCACACTGGGGCCAGGAGTGCCCTGCTGGGAACTGAACCTGCAGCCTCAGCGGCCTTGGGCTTGCAAGACAGTCACTTCTGACACTGAGCTATCCCCAGAGTCCTCATCACAATCTCTGCATAGACTGTGTATGTTGTCTGCGGGCATTTCACTATAATGAGTAAAGATTTTCCCAATTTTTACCCATACTTTTAAAATATCATCAAAACAAGACATATAAATCCTCAAACTCACAAAACTGGCTGCAATGTACCAATACTGACACCTTAATTGACTAATCTTTTTTTTTTTTTTTTTTTTTTGCTTTTTGGGTCACACCTGGCGATGCACAAGGGTTCCTCCTGGCTCTACACTCAGGAGTTACTCCTGGCGGTGCTCAGGGATATGGGATGCTGGGAATCGTTTGTGCAAGGCAAACGCCCTACCTGCTGTGCTATTGCTCCAGCCCCATTCATTGACTAATCTTTACATGAAAGCACAGCCTAACAGGCAACATTTATAAGGGAGACAGAAAAATCTAGTGAGTAGAAATCATGGCTCCATTCCCTTCTAGCTATGAACAGTTTCCTTCCCTCAGCCTACATTTTCATATGTGCAAAATGAGTTAATAATTCCAATCTCGTGGGGGATGGGGGTTGCTTTTTGAAAGGTCAAGGGAAATCACACCAGGGAATGCTCAGGGATTGCTCCTGGCCCTGCACTCAGCAATCACTCCTGGTAGTGCTCTGGGGACCGCATGGAATGCCAGAGATGGAACCCAGGTTGGCCGCGTGCAAGGCAAAAGCCCTCCCCAATTCGATTACTCGGGGAGGATTAACTATATGCAACATGTTCAGCACAGTGTCTGACTCAAAGGAGGCACTCAGAAAACAATTAGTGTTACTCAATTGTTGTTCGTATCAGGCCCTTATAAAGGCAAAGCTTTTTTTTCACCTTGCATCTCACTAGTAGGCTCTACACTTATTAAGAAATGAATAAGTGAAGGCAAGAAACATCAAAGTTAAAAAATGAGGATTGGTCTATCAGTTGAACACAGATAGGAAATGAGTCTTTGAATAATGACCTTTAAAATAGTATTTATCAGGAGACTGGGGATGTGGCTTAGCAGCAAAAATAGATGCGAAAGGTCTGGCACATGTATCAAATCTCTGGCATAGCATACACACACACACACACACACACACACACACACACAAGTATCACGGGGCTGGAGAGAAGAGTACCGTGGCAGGCATTTGCCTTGCATGCAGCCAACCTGGGTTAAATTCCCTACATCCCATATACTCCCCTGAGTGCAGAGCCAGGAGTAATCCCTAAGCATCTACACATCTCCAGGTGTACCCCCACCCTCAAAAAAAAGAAAAAAAAAGCCAGGACAGCTCAGAGTCAGGGGGTCAGGGGTACATACCATGAATGCACAAGGACCAGAGTTCAATCTCTGACACCATACATGCCCTGACTCAGCACCACTAGTGTGGTCCCAGCAATGTGGCACAGCCTTGGCATTGAACCAAACAGCCCAGTGGACGAGAATTGGAGAGAGTGGCCCCAGATCATTTGAACACTGCAAGGGACATCCAACAAATAATAGGAACAGAGAGATGTACACAAGAGAGAGCACTTGCCCTGCACACAGCTGACAAGGTTCCATCCCTGACCCTGAGCCTCATCAGAAGTGACCACTGAGCACAGAGCCAGGAGTTAAGACCTGAGTGCAGCTGGGTGTGGCCCAACTCCCCCCCCCAAAATAATAATGCAGTTATGAGTTCCTATCAGTATATGTTTGATCTGTAGGGTTTATCTTACATAGCTAGGATCATGCAGCCCTTGAGTACTCCGGGGAGGGGAAAAAAAAAACACCAGTAAACAAATATACATATGCATTATGTCAAAAGGGGAGAGCTATTTTCATAGCAGAATACCAACGTCTCCAGGTCTCAGAAACAGGGGAGCCCGGCGTCTCGCTGGAGAAGAGGGGAAAGTCCTGTCCCTTCCAAAAACTGAAGGTCCTAAAGCTGGCAGCAGGGGCTCCGGGCCCACCTGCTCGCACCAGGCCCTGGCTAACAGCTTCTGCGCCGGGCTGCGGCCACCGGGATGCTCCCTCCCTTTGGCCGAGCGGCCGAACCCTTTCCGCCCGGTCCCCGCTGACCGCTGACCGTGTCTGGAGGCATCGAGCAGGCAAGACCGCGGCCGCAGAGCGAAAAATTCCCAGGGGGGGCGAGAAATGCACCGCCACGAACGGGCCGAGGCCGGGGCTTCTCCGAACTCGGGTCCGAAAACGCGCCCGGGCGCGAGGGCGCGTCGTCGACCCCAGCCGGGACCCCGCGGGCCGGCCGCGGTGCGACCCAGGGGGCTCCCCGGTCTGCGGCGCCGGGGGGCGAGGAGGAAACGGGGGGCCCGGCCCGGGGCGGTCCGGGTCCGCGGCCGCAGAACGGGGCGGCGGGGGCGAGGGCCCGGGCCTCGCCCTCCCCGCGGCGCCCCCGGGAGCCGCGGGTCGGGGCGGGCGGGACAAAGGCGGGCGGCGGGGGGCGCGGGGCGCGGGGCGCGGGGCGCGGGCCGGGGTCCGGACACGCCCACCGCCGGCCTTACCTGCTCCTCCTCGGGGCTCAGCGCGGGCGCCATGTCGGCCCGGGGCGCGGCCGCGGGCTCCATCCCGGCCCCGGCTCGGCGGCGCGTGCTGCGGGGCCCGGCCCGCTCCTCCTCCGGCCGGGGCCGCGCTGGGCGGGCGGGCGGAAGTCCGCGGCGAGCCGGGGCGCCCCCTCCCCTCCCCTCCCCTCCCCTCCCCTCCCCTCCCGCCCCTCCCCTCCCGCCCCGCCCCGCCCCTCCTCGCGGGGCGGGCGGGGGCCGGCGCGGGCGGGGGCCGGCGCGGGACGCCCGGCCCCGGCCCAGGACCTCCCCGGGCGCCGGCCCGCGGCGGAAGCGGCCCCGGCGGCCCCGCGGACGCTCAGAAGCCGCGGCGGGCGCGGGCGCGCGGGGGCGACGCGCCCCCCCGGCTGCGAGCCCCCCGCGGCCCCATTGAGGAGCCCGCGCGGCCCATTCACCAGCCCAAGGCGGCGGCGGCGGCGGCGGCGGCGGCCGGCAGGGGGCGCCCGAGGGCCGCGCGGGGCGGGGCTGCGGGCGGGCCGGGGGCGGGGCTCCCGGAGGCCCCGCCCCCACCCGCGCCCGGGGGCAGCTCGAGCCCCTCGCTCGCGGCCGCGTGGGCCGGCCCGGGCCCGGGCCACGCGCATCCCCCCCAGGGGCACTGGGAGCAGCCGCGAGCTCGGCCCGGGTGCGAAGGGACCCGGGAGGTGGTCGCGGTGCTCGGGCGATGATGCCCAGGCCTGACTCCGGGCTCTGCGCTCAGAAATCACTCGCGGCGGTGCTCGGGGACCCGATGGGGGGCCGGGAATCGAACCCTGGGCGGCGGCGGGCGAGGCAGGCGCCCTCCCCGTTGCGATGCTCCGGCGCTCCGCCTCCAGGGATCTTTGTATTTATATCCTACAAGTCTGAAACAATGTTTGATGCCTTAATGATAGGGTGTACGGCATTGTATGCTAACGAGGGAAAGCAAAACCACTTTTACTTGTACACGGATGCGCAGGGAAACTGCATGGGATGGGAAGGTCTTCCGAACTGGGTGAGGAGCTCGCCCCCCGGTTCTGAAGTTGGTCCCGGGACTTAGAGGGCCGGAGGGAGATTGTGGGCCACACCCTGAGGTGCTTAGGTGCTACTCCCTCCATACCCGCTGGCAGGGCTCCTGGGGATGGGCCATATCCTAGACCTCCTGCACGGGGAGAATTCCTTCAGGGTGTTGAATGATCACTCATCCCCGTTCTTGACTTTGAAAGCGACCTCTAACTTCCCCGCTACTCAGCACGCCAGCAACAGCGATTTCAGACTGCTCTTGGTTAGAGAGGGAACCCTGGGGGGGAACCCTGTAGAGTGCCAGGTGGAACCCTGATCCGGGTCAAGGCAAGCGCCCTCCATCTCTCCAGCCTTGAGAGCTACTGCTGTCTCACTCTTCACCCACGAGATGGGCTCTGGGTGGAGTTATAAACCCAACATAGAGTTACCACCTGGCTCAGCACTCAGAAATTGCTCCCTCAGGGTCAGAGAGATAGTACGGCAGGTAAGACATTTGCCTTGCATGCTGCTGACCAGGGTTTGATCCTTGAGGACTTCAAGAGTGACTCCTGAACACAGAGCCAGGAGTATGCCCTGAGCACTGTTGGATGTGCTTTAAGAAATAAGAGAGAAAACAGAGGCTGGAAAGATTCAGTACAGCGGGTAGGGTACTTGCCTTGTGCTGCCTTGCTCAGGAGGTCCAGAGCCCATGGCAAGTTGCCACCAGTCAGGCCATCAGTTCAGCATAAGGGCTAAGTATGCGGAACGACTTGGGCCCTGCAGTGCCCGGGAGAGCTAGGCCACATAGAGCCACATCCAGCGATGCTTTAGGAGACCATGTCGTGATGGGACCCCAGCCTGGGTCAGGTGCATGTGATGCTTGCGAGCTACGGGCTGTACTAGCTCATGGTCCTCTGTGTAATGACAAACATGAAACTGTATGTAATGAGAATTATGAAATTGTAATGAAAATTAAGGGACTATGATGGGGACCGGGAAACTGAAACTGACCCCTTAAGTTAAACAAGAGAAGGGAGGGAGAAGCATTCCTTTTATGACCCCAGTTAACCGAGTTAAGGGTCCACCAGCCCAGACTGACGGGAGCACACTGGGCCCAACAGAGTTATGGGTGTGCACAGGAGATGGCACCAGAAGGTCGCACCAAAAACGGGCAAGAGATACTGACACTGACTGTTTTTTCTTTGAGCACCTGAAGGCCATACCATGCGGGAGCGATGCATTGATGGTTTTTCTTTTACTTATTACCTCTGAATCTCCTGTTTCACTGATAAGAATATATGAAGACTGTAGCCCACCTTAAGAGAATAAAAGAGAGGCCCTCTCAGTGAACAGGACTCCAAGTCTCTTTCTCTTCCAACTTGGGGTCCTCAGCACTGAGCCTCTAATAAACTCACTATCCTATCCTGAGCTGTCTCTCTCTCTCTCTCTCTCTCTGTTGCTTCGAAGATTGTGCCAGCACAACACCAGTACTTGTGTTTTTTAATTTGGTAGGTTAGGGACTGGGATGTGGCTCAGTGGCCTTGCATTTGTGAGGCGCTGGGTGGTCACCAGCAGAGCAAACTAAATAGATAAACTGGGCAGGTGGACATCCTTTCTAATTTGGAAGGTCCAGAAAATAGTACGTGGCCTGCTCTGCAAGCCTGTGTTCTCCTTTTGAATATGTATCTCACTTGCTTTTCTCTGTGACTTTTTGTTTTTTTTTTTCCACTCTGAAGAAACCTGTTCTTTCTTGAACACACACTTCCTCTCTTTCTCTCTCTCCATGTCTTTCTAAGAAAATTCCATTCAATAAAAATTTAGCAGGTAGGGCATTTGCCTTGCATGAGGCAGACCCAGGTTGGATTTTGGATTCCCAGCATCCCATATGTTCCCCGAGCACCACCAGGAGTAATTTCTGAATGCAGAGCCAGGAGTAAGTATCCCCTGTGCATCACCGGGTATGACCCAAAAGGCAAAAAAAAAAAAAAAAAAATTTTTAAATGTATGCACACAACCCAGGGTCAACCCCTGCTATTTCATATGACCCCCGCCCCCCAAGCACCACCAGGAGTAATTCCTGAGTTCAGAGCCAGGAATAACCCTGAGCATCTCTGGTATGACCCCTCAAAATAAAACGGTAGCACGGGGATTAAGGCATTAACATTGCATGCAGCCAACTGTTTGAACTCCAGCACTGCCAGAAAACCCTGATTGTCAACAGAACAACAACAACAAAAGTGTTGTTAGGGGCCAGGGATGTAGCTCCGTGGTAAAACACTTACCTTACCTGTGTGAGACCATGGTTTTGATTCCCCAGCACCACAAAAATTAATTGTTCTGGTTTAATTTTTGAGCCTCACCCAGCAGTGTTCAGAGGCTCCGCCTGGCTCTGTGCTCAGGAAATCATATGCCCAGTGAGTTGAGCCCAATAAACAAGCGAAACAGGCAAATGACTCTAAGGTTAAGTTGGAGAAATGGCAGGAGGGCCAAGGGGATAGCTCAAGTGATAGAGCAGCTGGCTAGCAGGCAAAGACCCTGCGTTTGCATGCCATCCCTGACACCGCATGCCTTCCACACATCCGGGGACACTACTGGGTATACAGCCCTGGAGGCTACTAGTTTTGGCTCTGGACTAGCACCACAGGGAGTGACCCTCAGGTCTCCTGAGCACTGTTGAGTGTCACCTCTCAGCAGAAAGAAATGCTAGGAGCTCGGTAGTACAACGCAGTGAAAAGACACAGGAGAGGACAGACTCTGGGCACACGATTTACCATTTGAGACGTGCTTTGCCTAGGGAACCTCAGTGACTTAACCAGGCGTGCAGCTGGTTCCTTAGTATTGCCCGGGAATTTGAGTCCAGGGACTCTAACTGCCAGTGCAGGGACAGGGTATTGGAGAACGAATGAAAGGGAGTGGCTGGACAGAGTGAGCTGGGACAAGTCGCTGGGAGAAGCTGTATTTTAAGAGGCACAGCTGCATGTGGAGGCATGTGGGAGGGGAAGGAGTGATTCTCCCGCCCAGGCCTCTCACAGACCTGAGAGGGCTTGGGAGCTTCTGAGCAGAGACATCAGGAACGAAAGCAAAAGCAATGCATCGGGCTAGATCTGCCCTGAGAAGTCAGTCTTAGGAGAATCCAAGAACAAAGGCGCGCCTAGAATTCTAGAGACTGGAACCAATGAAATCAAGTATCCGACTGTTATCCTGTTTGAGCCAGTCATGACAATTAGCAAAAACTGTGAGCAATGTGATGACCTGTCAATAGGTAAGGTAAAGGTAAAGGCCCTCCCGTTGATCGTCGATTTGCTCGAGCGGGCCCAGTAACGTCTCCGTTGGAGACTTTGTTGTTACTGTGTCTGGCATATCGAATACTCTCGGTAGCTTGCCGGGCTCTCCGAGAGGGGCGGAGGAATCGAACTCGGGTCGGCCATGTTGGCCGCTTGTAAGGCGAACGCCCTACTGCTGTGCTATCACTCCAGCCCGTCAATAGGAAACTCAGTAAATTAATGATAATACACACAGAGAGATGATAAGTTCAGGGGGCGAAAGCGATAGGACAGGGGTTTCGACATTTGCCTTGCAGGCGGCCAACCTGGGTTTTATCTCTGGCATCCCATATGGTCCCCCACACACTGCAAGGAGTTAATTCCTGAGTGCAGAGTCAAGAGTAACCCCCAAGCATTGCTGGGTGTGGCCCAAAAAGAAAAAAAAGGGAGAGAAATAATAAGTTCACTTGTATATATTCCACATCCTCAGTTCTGCTTCAAATTATTTTCATCGGTCTAATCTCACATTATAGCATGGAAACCTGAAGTTATGATGCTTATTTTACAGAAAATAGGCACAACGTGGGGCCAGAGAGATAGTACAAAATATAGGGAACATATATTGCACGTATCCAGGTGGGTTTGATCCCTGGCAGTTCGTATGGGCCTCCAAGTACTGCCAGGAGTGATCCCAGAGCCAGACCCAGTAGTAAGACTTAAGCAGTACTGGATGTGTCCAAAAACATATATATGTTTCGGCAGAGCCTGGCAAGCTCCCTGTGGTGTATTCGATATGCCAAAAACAGTAACAAAAAAAAAAAAAAACAGT